GGGGGGGGCATATAGAAGTTTTGCTAAGGGGTCCCATGATCTGTAGTTAAGCCCCTGCTCCTCGCCTTTCCGCAGACAGGATTAATAAATGCAGAAGTTGTATATTGACCTACTCCCACAGGCTCCCGTACCATTTCCCTGGCAGCAGAGAGGCTATCGCTGTGTAATTACTCTGCAAGTGACTAAACCACTTATAAGCTCAGTTCCTGTTTAATTAAAGTTGATTATCTACTAAGATATTGTGTGATCATCCACACCAAGTGGAACACAATCAGCTGTAATTGGCCCGATCAGTCTGAAAGAAGAGAAAGTAGACTGTTGTGCCTGATGCTCATTAAAGGAAGCTGTGTCTTGAATTTATTGAAAGGGTGAAAGGTTGTTGCGCTGATAGAGCAGTGTGCAAAACATCAGCCATGGTTTTTTTAAATGCCTTTTTAACCCTTTCACTGCCAGCGCCGTAAGGCATATGAGCCTCTGTAAACAGACTCTATCACCACCGGGAGTCTGTTTACCTGTGTAAAGCCGACTGATCATTTTTCACCTGCCAGATTGCTTCCAGGGGCCCGGTAAACGGAGCCCCCCCGACTGACACCCTCCTGCCTTGCTTCTCGTGCTCCGCTTCACCACCTGCGGACCCTGGACGGCATCGCATGTTGGTGGGAAGCGGGGAGAGAGACCAGTGAATGTCTGATTACAGATCTCTGGCTCTAACTGAGCAGGAGGCATGTCAGGATCTCCGCAGGGAGACCACTGCTTCCCCACAGAGATCAAGGGTTCTTCTCTGCAGTATGCTGGCATGGGACAGGCTTTTGTACTCAGGCTTGTGGCTGGTTTCTAAAGAAAACCGACTGTAAGACTTTGCACACCTTTTGATTTTAAGCATTTGAAATGTTCTTAGCCAATTTAAACCTAAAGAAGAACCTTGGGCAAAGAAAACACTTACCCTTGCAGTGGGGCACACCCCCGCACTGCAACGGTTAAGTGCTCATTTTGTCCAGGGGACCCAAATAAAGCTGTTTTACTCACCTGATCCTGACTCCCGCGGGAGGTCAGCGCTTACCTCTCTCCCCCTCTGCTCCTGATATTGGACTGTTCCTTGGCGTCCTTGCATCTAATGCAGGTCAGTGGAACTGAATAGGACATGATGACATCAGTGGACCTTAGACAGCCAGAGGGAAGGGGAGAAGAGGCAGTTGGGCTTTAAAAACAATGACACATGCATTAATGTGCATTAAAAACCACACTTGTTAAAAGGCATAAGTGTAAATAGATCAGAATGATCATATATTCGTTTTTTGCCACAGTGACGTGAGGCTAAGAATTCAGCAGGAAATAGCGAGGACGTTCGATCTCGATGCCCACTCTCTGCACCTGACCAAACCCACCTTCTTCTCCAGAATGAACAACTCAGAGGCCAAAACTGCACATGATGAATACTGGCATCCTCATATCGATAAGGTAAGAAGCTTAAAGGAGAACTATGAGGTGAGTGATTTTCACTCAGCCTCATAGTTCTAGCCGACCTGTGACAATGAAACTCAATAGCTCAATAGATCGGGAAATGAGCGAACACATAACGTCGCTCGCTCACTTCATGATCATGTCCCTGCAGAGAGCCATGAATGTCACTCACGGCTAACTGCAGGTATTCCCCCGCTCCGATCCTCCAGCGCTGACTGGCGGAACGGACCGGGGAGGGGGCTGGTACAGCTGGCTCCGCCTCTAAATAGGCAGAGCCAGCTGTCAATCACGTAGCTGGGTGGATCTCGACAGTAATGCCGGGATCCGTCCCAGCTACGGCGGTCTCAGTATACCGCGAGCTGTAGCTCGGAGTATACTGAGCTTTGGGTCACGGGAGGACGCTAGTTTGTGTCCTCCCGTGACCCTTAGGAGAACTATGGGGAAAAACACTGACCCCATAGTTCTCCTTTAAGTGTCTAGATTAGGCCACTTCCACATTGGCTTGTAAGACCCCCAAAACCCTTTTTTAGCCATTCATCAAGTGTTTTCTATGTGCTCAAAGAGTGGCATAAAGGCATTTAGAAATGTGTTTAGGACACCATAGAAAGCACAATCGGCAGGCAAAACTGTACACTTCCGCTTCTGAGACGGATTCTGGGTATTGGGAACTCTTTCAAACACCGCTGTTAGTATAAAGAACCATTTATTTCTATTGTTTGCAAACAGTTAATGAACAAGAAGCACCGCACACTTGGTCTAATTAAACACATTCTAGCTTAACAACACTGATGCTTGTAAGTAATTTTCACCCACCAGATCGCTTCCAGGGGCCAGTAACAGAGCCCCCACCCAACACCCCCCTGCCTTGCTTACAGCTTACAAGTCCTTAAATGTGGTGACTGCATTAGTTTTCATGTTTTTTTCCCTTTTTATTTTTACCTGGAGATCCGGCAAGTAACACACTTCCTGTTCAAGGGTATCTTGGGCTCCACCAGGGAGGCATGTGACAGTGCGAAAATGCTGGAGGCCATTTGGGAGACAGCTTACTAATCATAGATGTGGTGGCTGCATTCGTTTTTATACTTTATACCCTTTTATTTTCACATGGAGATCCGGCAACTAACAGGGTATGCTGGGCTCCACCGTGGAGGCATGTGACAGTGTGAAAATGCTGGAGGCCAATTGGGAGACAGTTGTCACCCCATTTCAGGAAGTACCTGCAAATAGCGTTTCCTGATATCGGGCGGCAGGATCACCAGGGATTACTTCAATGAAAGCTGCAGATTTCAAAACAACTTTTTAAAATGACGTTAACATGTTAAAAGCTTTTATGAGGTCTTACTGATTGGGTTTAAATCTACTTCAATAACACAATGCTACAAAATGCCTTCTGTATCAAAGCAGACCTTTCATCCCAAATTGGGCAAATCTTTGTCATTCTAATCCCCCTTTCAGAAAAGTAATGTGAAAGTAATTAAGACCCCATTCACACTGAGCTACATTAAAAAAAACGCTTTTTCAGAGCTGATTTGAGCTGAGCGACATTGAGCTACAGTGCACATGTTGTCACACTACGTAGCGCTTCTTTTGGTAGTCTATCAGAGCCTATTGGGGCCAAATCACACAAAATCAGCTGGGAAAAATAGGTCATGTTCGAGCGACAAGCTTCAGCTACAGGCGACATTGAGCTTTGAGATGTGAGCAGCTCCATTGAAATGCATTGGACGAGCTACATTGAGCGATTTTTGAGCTGAAATTGCGCTACAAATAGCTCAGTGTGAATAGGGTCTCGGGCTCCATTCACACCCAGGCCACACCTCACCGGACGGCAATCGTGCACGATTCCATGCGGATTGCCGTGCCGTCAGGAGTCGCCAAGGTGTGAACCGATCGCGCTGTGGGTGCCATTATTTTCTAATGGCACCCCAGTCGCGCCGAGCGGATCGCGCGTTTTCCTGCCGCTATTCCGCCCGTGCTTTCGAACACGATTGTGGATAAAACAGCCGCGGGTCGTGTATCGCAAAAAAAAGGTACTTGTACCTTTTTTGTGCGATTGCCGCGTGGATATCACCCTATTCAAATCAATGTAGCTGCGCGGCAATCTTAATCAGATGCATAATAAATATACACTCTGGCCTACTTTGGCACAAATGATGTAATCATGCCCAAGCATTGCATCCTGGCAAGAATTCATCTGTAGAGCATTGATGGGGAATCTCGTCTGTAATCTCATGAGATCTCAGGGAAAGGCATTTTGTTTCCCTGAGATGATGTGTATGGTCACATGTCCTAGTCACATGTGCCAGAGTTCCAGGAAGTAAGGGGAGATCTAGTAATCTGCCCTTAGTTAAAATGGCCACTGTGAGAAGACTAGAGAAGGAAAGAGAAATAAGGTATGCAAAAAAAGCCGGCAATTATGTATAAGTATCTTTTTGTAGATTGTCATTACTAAACATTTCTGAAGGTGTCTTTGTTGTTAGATATTTGTAAAGTTCCCTTTGAAAGAGAACTATGAGGTAAGTGTTTTTCCCCATAGTTCTCCTTAGGGTAACAGGAGGACACAAACTAGCGTCCTCCCGTCACCCTAGGCTCAGTATACCGCAAACGACGGTATGTGTTCTCTACCTTCCCGATCTATTGAGCTGACGTGTGACAATGAAACTGTCATACGTCGGCTCTAACACTGAGGATGAATGGAAATCACTCACCTCATAGTTCTCCTTTAAGGCTTGGCAAGCGGGGAGCTGATCAAAGTTAGTTCTTTATTTAAAAAATGCTATCGTTTTAATTACTCTAAAAGCTTTTCAGAAAGGGGGGATAAGGATGACAAAGATTTGTATAAGATTCACTTGAATCATTACGATTTTGAACAAAGCCTAAGTTACATATAATTGAAAATTGCTGCTTAATACATTCTAATTGCCGTGGATCAAGTAACTCGGCAGATAACTCTGATCTGTTTTCTGCAAGAATGACGGCGTAAATCCTGCGGGACTAGCGATTTTCTGTTTTGTTGCCACAATTCTTGTTCCATCAACCTCTCGGCTGCTTCAAAGCTCCTGGGGGGGAATTAATTGGAATTTCTCTACATTAGGCCCAACTGAGATACAGAAGGTAATAGAGGGCAGAGGAGACTTCCTTGCCCTGCTCCATTTGCCACGATGGCCTGTGTAATCAGCTCCAGGCCGTTAATCCCTATTGTCACTGCAGCCTGTAGAGTGACAATGAGACATGTATCCAGAGAAGCGGCAGACATGGAAAGGTTAAACTGTTGACTCGTGCTGGTTAGGATAGTGCGGAGGTGGTGGAGAGACCGAGATGAAGCTTGACCTGTATTATCATATCTATTCCTAGATGCCTGATGCTGTGCTGTTACAGACTATTGTACCGTATTAAAAAAAGAGAGAGAGAGAGAGAGCCAAGCAACATATATGAGACCAAGGAAACTTTATTGAATCTGCCGGATCAATTTCAGATATTGTATTGCGCACGCAAAGTCCACACAAATTCAATTTGCTTCCTTTTCAGGTGTTCAGACCCCCGAAATGTGTTGGATACTTAATTTTTTTTCATGAATCATTAAATTTTCCTGTATTCATTTGTGGTTTGGTGCTGTTCATTCTATCTTTCTCTTTTCTGGATTCTCACTCTAAGTACCCCAGGGTAGGGATGCACCGATACCGGATCTTCGGTATCGAGTGCGAGTACCGATATTACATAGTTACATAGTATTTGAGGTTGAATAAAGACATTAGTCCATCAAGTCCAACCTAAATATATTTGCTTTCGGTACTCGCCGATACGAATACCAATACCGGAAGTCTCATTAAGTAAGCTAGGTGATTCGCCACCTGGCTTCCTGGTTAGCAGGGAATCCGTCTCAATGCCCCCTCGTCACCAGGTGATGAGGAAGTATGGAGCCCGGTTTCTGGCCAGTCAGGAAGCCGGGGGGCTGGTAATGACTCGCCGTCCAGCTTCCTGATTGGCCAGCTTCCTGTCCAATCAGGAAGCTAGGCAGCGAGTCATTACATGCTGCCCAACTTCCTGATTGGCCGGGTAGCCGGCTCCATGCTCTTTCGTCACCAAGTGGCATCGGACATTTGGGCGAGTACTCGTACTCGCCCTAATGCTCGGTATCGGCTCCGATACTAGTATTGGTATCGTGCATCCCTAACCCCAGGTAGGGTAATCCTCTATGACAACAACAGCCACACCAGGGCCATTGAGCCTTAGAAATTGGTTTGATATTCTGCTTTATTGCACCACAGATTATTGGTATTCCAAAACGCCTCTCTGACACCTATTCAGGACTATTGTACTACACTTAGTGGCCAGATTATTATGACCACCTGACGTTTGTAGGCAAATTAGCTATAATTTGGCGCTGAAGTTGCTAGAGGGCCAGACCATTATAAATAGGGAAGCAGGTTGTTTACCACGACAGGAGAAGTGATTTGTTTCTGAAGATACGGGGAAACAACGCGATTTAACAGCCTTTGAACGCGGGATGATTGTTGGCGCGAGCCATGGAGCGAGTATCAGCAAAACAGCAGAATTCGTTAAATGTTCAAGAGGGGCTCATTGTAAAAGTGTTTAAAGACCGGACTGTTAGCCGAAAATCTGGGTCTGAACGTGCGAATTGTGGCCGTCAGCGACTAGTCAATGTTAGGGCAGAACGTAGAGTGGCAAGACTGGTACAAGACAACAGAAGGGCAACAGTGCAGTGTCAGATTCCTCGCATCACCTTTCAACATCTCGCAGAGTCACGAGGCGGCCCAACGAAGTCATCTCGTGGAGTTATCTCATGGCCCAACGAAGTACTGATGGGGTGGTCATAATAATCTGGCCACTCAGTGTATAAAAGTCATCAATGATAGCAGGGCATTGCGAGTTTACGTGCCAAATAATTAGGTTGAAAGTGCAAGACTTCAGGCCACTTTTGGCTTTCTTCCTTAGGTATGAAGCACATTAGAGCCTTCTTAGAACAGAGCAGTCTC